TGTTAGAGACTGAGTCGACCCCTGGGCCACAGTGTGGCTGGAAGGGCTAGTTCAGTTTAAAAATTCAATGGCGTCATCGGGAATCGAACCCGCCGCTTTAAGGTATATACAGAACTGAACATGGACATTTTAGAGAGGCACAGCAATCTGTATATCGATCAGCCAATAGTGTTATTAAAAATAATATGGTTTATGTACCATTCACAAATTATAGTGCAGGATGATGAATACAAATAATTCTAGAATTTTAAATATACATTAATGACATCAAAAACATCAGATTACAGAATGACAGCTGTACATAAACTAACTGAAAGTTTTAATTAATACTGGTAACATGGTGATCAAAGGTTTTAGAACAGGTACAGAGATTCAGATTGCCAAGTTGCAAAAAAGATATGAATACTGCATGCACTCCAGTGCAGCTTGCCTGCTTGCTAAATGTACCAGCGACCCTTGTTACTGAATGTTCAATCTAGTTCACACCTAAACATTGCTAACATCTGAGAGCTAATCCTTAAACCCTAAAGAATTGCTACTACACTTACTTTCACTGGGGGCATGCGGTAGGGTACTTGGTTGGGGCACTATGCTACAAGCTGGAAGGGCGCGGGATCGAATCCCAATGAGGTGGATTTTGTTCAATTTACCTAATCCTTCCAGCCGCACTGTGGACGTGGGGTCGACTCAGCCCATAACAGAAATGAGTACCAGGAATATTCTTGGGGGTAAAGGGCAGCCTGCACGTAAGGCTGACAACCTTACCGCTATCTGTGAGCCGACTGTCTAGAAAATGCGGGAACCTCAACATCTCACAACCCTATGAGCCTCCACGACCTGTTACAGAGATACTTTTACTTACTTTCATTACTTTCATTACCATGGTTACTTCATTTTGGTAATGGCACATCATTTCTAAGGCACAAGTTCATGTTTCGCGATGCACAAATCTGGGGTGGACTCCAATGACATAAGGTTCATATCAAATTTCATCAAAATCCATCCAACTGACCTTGAAACATTTTGGCAGATGGACTGACATACATCATCATCCTTATGTACACTCTTTTCTTGGGTACTATGTATAGAATATAAAGTAAGTAAACTCCATATAAGAACTTCTGCAAGACAGACACACAATGAACTACATCAATCTGACTTAAGAGTTTTATCAGGTCAACTATGAAGTATCTCTGGATACCAAAAACATTCAACTACTACCCATCTAATGACATACAGATCTGAAAAGATCCCCCTGCCTACTCACATAGTACTACCCATATAAAATTCAACGACCTGATGTTATGCTGTGAGATGAAAAGATTTCAAAATGAGATAAAAAAGAGTTTGGAATGTGGCTCACAATGCAGACTGCTAAATCTAATCAACACACTATGACTTGGCATTTTACCCACTTTCTTTGGTCAAGACATGCCAGCATCAGAAGTAATGTGGCTTGGTACAGACATTACAGAAATACATACTGAAATTCGTTTTAGATAACAACAGATGTATTCTATAGAAGTAAACAAAAACGTGTCCCTGTGCTTAATTAATTAAGCACTACGCCATGAAGTGGACATATAGCTCCACATTTCATGACCTCAGCACCAGATGGAGGTGAGTGGTCAACCTCACGCCCCAGCTGCTTTACCCCCGGGGGAAAGAGCCCTTGATACCCATTGCTAGGAGGTTGGGAGGACACCAAAGCCGGTCTGGACAACACAGACTACTTAAAATTCTTGACCCCACCGGGACTCGAACTCCAACCCCTCAGTCATCCAGCCAGTAGCCAGTCACTATACCGAGTGTGTTATCCTGGCATATGAAGGAATGCAAAAATGAAATACAAACTTCCTTCACCTAAAAAATAATACTGTCGGTGCTAAATACAATGTACATAACTGGTTTTGTTTCTCTTTAGAATACTGCTAGTGACTACAGTGTGATATGATTACCCTCACTCCTCCACTGAGACTGCATTAACACAAGAATAATAATCTGTGTACATGTTTTTGTGGTTAGAGGGTGTGAAAACTGGATACATTTACAGAACTGCATCCAACAGAAGCAGTGCAAAAGTGACTTAGGGTACAACCGAAAACATTTATCCTGATGAAATGAAGGAACTTATGGTCCAATGGTCCAAATGCACTAAAAACAAAAATATTACATAAAAATATGATATGTCCAACCATTACATAATTATCTTATCAAACCCTTACAATTAACTGCAATTTTTTTTCACACTTTTATATAAACACATCACATTTTCCACCATTCCTGAAAAATGTCACCAAACAATGCTTCAAATGAAATTCACATAAGATAACAGGATACATTTAAAATTGTGCACAGTTTGAGCACAATGAATTATTTTTAAGCAATTCGTTTTTTTAGAATCAAGAAAAATATGTACAGATGTTACAACCCCATAATTTATGAATTTATTAAAACTTCACATTTTTTTCTACATACAGTTTCGAAGAACTGATGGTAGTGACAAATAATGTAAGATCTTTAGCCATTTTAACAGAACATATGCCAACACAGTTCATCCAGAACATAGCTTTGACCTTCATATATAAAGTGTGTTCTCCACCAATGTTCACACTCACTCACAGAGCTGAGCCCTTCTTGAAAAGCTGCCAATTATGCAACTACCAATGTTCGCATCAACATATAAATGAAGTGTATGTACTTCAAGGACTCTACTGAATAGCAGGAAAGTAGAATGACAAACATGCCTCAAAAAAACCCCACAGGAGGCACATCATTCACTGTTATGTAAGATACATTCTGCTACAAGGAAAGGCATGCTGTACAAACTGGCAAATAAGGTAACATATTATAAGAGGCACTCCATGTGAAACAAATGAAAAATTAATGTATACTGTATACAAATTGAAATTTATAGGTAAATTATTTATTTAATTCCTGGTACTCATTTCTGTGAGTGAACCCCAGGGCCATAGTGCGGCCGGAAGGATTAGGTCAATTGAAAAAAATCCAATGACCTCATCAGTATTTGAACCCACGCCTTGAAAGTCATTTATATGAAGAAAACTAATTTCTCAATTAATTTACAGGCACTAATTACTTAGAGACAATACATACATAATGTGGCAGCAGAATGTGACAGTTTTCAGAGCACTGCTTGCAGTGCCTGGCTGAAGGGAGTGGGAGGGGCTGTTCTCTGATCTATGCAGCTGCTTCTCACAGAATACTTAATACGTAAGCATGCAGAACTCCCAATCAGCACCATCAAGCGCTCACCTTATTTACTTAATGTTAAGTCAGTGGTACATATCAAAAGGTGATTTTGCATGACTTTCATTTTGATGGGTGCAGTAGAAATACTTCTTAAAGTGGTTGGCAATTTTTCAGAATTTTGGCAGCACCCATAACAGTTTCGTTAGTAGTTCATGATCAGTCCACACACAAGAAAATGCTGGTAGGGTTAAAGAAACAGTGATGAACAGTTCAATTAGCTCCAATAGATTTTGATCAGCTGCTCTAAGCTTTTCAAGCAGAAATGTTCACCTCATTCAGAAAACAAACTTACATTTCATCCCCAAAGATTCAGATTTTATAACAACTGCAAGACACCAATAAAATCACTCTTCTGGGTACAGTTAAGTCTGCACATTCTTTTATGAACCAATTATGTCTGACCAGACTGGTTATGTCAACAGACAAAATTTTTTAATAAGAGAGCAATTAACAAGCCATACAGAGTTTATAAAAACCCTCCACACAGTGTGACACAGTATGGTGCGGCAAGCCTGTCTTTGGAATTACAGGACTGTACTTCTCTGAAGTAAATAACTGCACAGTGACTGCAACCTCCCAGCAATATCAAATAATGTTTAAAATGCTGGAACTGACTGCTGAGAACTGGTTCCAACAGGACAGTGCTTCAGTTCTCATGGAAGGAAAGATAATTCACGGAGATTACATACAGTAAAATGTTAAAAAAAAAGAGGTAAAGGTTTCCTTATGCTTATTTAATTAAGCATCACACCATGAAGATGAATGGGGAAGTGGAGGTATAGCTCCACCATTCTTGACCTTAGCACTAGATAAGATGAAGCAAGTGGTCAGCTTCATGCCCCAGCCACTTTACCCTCACAGAAACAGACCCTGGTACCCACTGTTTGGGAAGCTAGGTGGGCCCAGAGTCAATCTGGACTCTGTGGACAGTTCGGCCTCTATCCTGTCGCTATACTGACTGTGTTATCCTGGCTCCTTCACTACATATAGCATAAAAAAAAATCCAAAGCCATACCTGACTCTATAAAAGACAGGAAAAAATGGTAGGCAAGCCTGGAAACATAGGCATGGCTTGGTGTGTTTTCATTATAGTGACAATATGCATTGGAAAGAGGTATTAATGTTACAAAAGTGTTCATGCAAAAATTTATTACCTGAACATTTGTAAAACGACTCTGCATATATACATCAGAGATGAAATATTTCCTTGATGTCCAAATTATGATGACGGTTAACTACTGGCCAACAAACACAGTCCAACTTACTCTTTTAATCAACAACGAAAGTAGTATACGAAGCTTCATCACAAAACCTGATTACTTCTCTTGCATATTTCTCATATCATCAAAAATATAACAGGCAGAACTCTTCTATGATCTGTTAGTCATACAACAGCAACTCACATGCTTATGAGATAAACTGGAAAACATTCACCTAATAACGGATTGTAAGATTTGAGGCTTTCACGGCGGTGACTATGAAGAAAGCAGTCTTCTGGGATTTGGCATATACACGGTGCCAAATCCCAGAAGACTGCTTTCTTCTTAATAACAGATTACTGACAGACATGTTGCGAGTTCAGTTACTAGTGAGGAAAAACCTATGCACTCAACCTAAACTGCAGTAAAACACGATGCTTACAAGCTACCTATGGCTGGAACAGACGAAACACTCTGCCCATGAAGCTTTATTATCAAATATGCCCAAAACAAATTATACGGTCTTACCTTTGGCCTGGCGGAGGACTGTCCATCTTGCAACTGTTGGGTGTTGCCACCACTGCCCCCACTTCGCCGACTCCCATTGTCAGCCATCTCACAGCCACAATGATTATCTCAGCCTGTCCCCTCCTGAAATGAATACACTCCTGTAAGACCTACAAATGGTGACCACTGTCAAGGATATTCTCATTTTGAACTACTATGAGATTCAGAAATGTGAAAATGACCTCTTCAACTGGAAAATTTTTCTGAAATCTACAAATATATTTATTTATACAAGAACACCTGGAACAGTAATAATAAAAACTTATAAAGCATATACCTCATACAGCTAGGTTCTCTGTTTTATGTTCCATATTATTTACCTCTGATGGTTTCACTTGATCATTAGTAAACAAAAGAAAACTCCGTGATTTTAGTCCACAAGCGAACTATACCGACCGAGCGACCGCCGCCTGTCGGCGAAGTTTAATGCCAACTTAGCGGATCGAGGGTGTCGCGTGGTCAACGCAACGAATCCCCACGGCCGTTAATTTCGATTTTCTAGACCGGAGCCGCTATTTCCTTAAAATAGCTTCTCGATTATCATCACGAGGCTGAGTGGACCCCGTTCCAGACCAACTACTTCTCTGAAAAAGAACTGGTAGCGCCGGGAATCGAACACGGACCTCTGGACCTGCAGCCAGGAACGCTGACCACTAGACCATAAACACTGTGTATTATTCTCTACCTCAGTTCAACCGCAAACCAGACGTCTTTTGGTTATTTAACAATTTCTGTCAGCTGCAGAAGTTATAAAACATCAAATGTGATGACAGGATGATTGTGCATGAGTGAAGTAGAAAGTAAGCAATCATGTAAATTTCTTTATTAAAATCCGTCGCAATTCAACAACAAAACAGTTTATGTTTAACAGTACTTCCCTACATGTTTCGGATTTTTAGAAAGCCATCATCAGGCAAATACACAATTAACGTGTTCTAAAGCTACTGAATTGCATACTATATAATTCAGTGCAGTAGTGTTGGATTTTCAACAATATACCATAATATAATAATATAAACCATAAAAGATAAAGATTTTAAACGAGATAAGTTACACAATTAAAATATAATTACGAACTATACATATAATATGTCCTACTGTTGCAATCATAATGTTATGTCACAGTGTTTTTGCGGACATATGGCGACAGTCTTCTTGCTTGTATTCACGTATGAATTGGTTAAAATGCTTGGAGGTCCGCTGGTATGCGTGCAGTATTATCAAGTTTTGATAATATTTGACGGGTACCTCTATTTACGTGTATTATGTTCGGTCTGGTAGGAAGGCGGGCTGCAACTCGAATAATAAGCAAGCAAGTGGTCAAGGCCGATTTAGTACTGTCCTGGAATTCGTCTTTAAGGACTGAGAAGAACCGCAAAAGAATTTCAAGACCGAAAACTGGCAACCAAACATAGGGAAGGCATATTACAATTTTGCCAACCTGCTAGCTGCATACTTCTAAAGTAACGAACTTGTAAAATAATTAAGCTCAAGTATATTCATACTGATACAGCACTATAGTCAAGTAATCGAGTTGCATGATTCTACCACTAAATTACCGCCGTGGGAACCGAGAGTGTACGAAGGACATGGCGTCGCCTGGCCTGCGCGCCTCTAATAACACCTGGATTGTTTGAAAACGCGTTCAGCTAACGCCGAAGGCCGAGGTCACGCGAACTCTGTTGGAACTTGCTGAAGTTTGTAAGAGTAGCTGTCCAGTTTTCGCGAAAGGTCAGTTCGGTAAAGCAAAGTGCGGAGCTGATGAGTGAGTAGTGAGTGCCGTCAGTCAGCAAGGTAGTAAGTCAGTGAAGTTATATATTGAGTACGTAGTCGGTCAATTCCCATTTTAATTTTTCAGAGCAGTACTGAGAAGTTGTGAGAAAACTGGGAGCAGCAGTGCTACTATGAAGTAACAAAGAACTGATTTCAAGATGGACAGTGAGATAGTTATTGCTCTACAGATCAATAAATGCCGGCATTCTTTATTAACACTGGCAGCGATATTTGAATTTATCAACAAGGTGCTTAGAGCGGACCATAAAGTTTACTCTCCTACGGCACGGACTTCTGATCTAACAGATATTATTATTGTTACTGTTGTTATAACTCAAACTTTTCTTTTGTTCCGTGAAGAACTCATTATTTAAAAACAAATTTCGTTTTTGTTAAATCTAGATATAAATTCAAAGTTTCGCATCGTCGCCATATTTGTAATTCTTCGCCTTAAAAGGTAAAAAAATGATAAAGTCCCTGTGCTTCATTAAGTAATCACCAAGCCAAGAAGAGGTACTGGGAGTAAAGGAACAGTTCCACCATGCTTAACCTCAATACTAGGTGCAAGAGAACGGTCAGCTTCACGCCCTTACATACACGTCTCATACAGAATGCGTATGTCAGTTTCACTAATTATAGCCAACAGGCCGAATATTAAGAAAAATTAAACAGCCTCAGTTGTTATATTATTCTACCAAAATAAAAAATTGGACAAAAGTAGCATGCTTCTTCTAGGTCTAGCGCAAGCGGTAGTGTAGTCGGTATCGGTCGGTATAGTGACAGGCTACGGGCTGGACGACCGGGTTCGATTCTCGACACAGCGTTCGGGACAGGCCTTAACCCATCCAATGGAAAACGGATACGATTTTCCCGGTGGTAAGGCGGCCAGGGCGTGAAGCTGACCACTCAGCTCCATCTAGTGCCGAGGTCAAGAATGGTCTTCTTCATGGCATAGTGCGCACAAGGACAACTTTATCTTTTACCTACTACCATACATAATTTCAGGGTCCTATACTAGTGTCGTTCCCTGTTCACAACTCGGTGTGTTCGCCACGTTAACACTGACTGCAGGAAATTAAAAAAGTATGGCGTTGGGGGTGGCCGCCAATTGTATAATGTTTACATGAAGTTTCATGAAGATGGTCAACTGATTCAGAAGCTGAAATACGGGGAAACAAAAAAACATGATGGATCCTAAGCTAATTTTTTCCTTTAAAGAAAGAAAGCAGGTTAAAAAACTATAATAAAAACAGAAATGATCTACAAGGTTATTTTATTTTCGGAAATGTCTTTCACAAACCTCAAAGAGCTTAATGTGAAGTTAAGTGATGTACTGACTGAACCTATATGTTTCAGTAACAAAAAAAAAACGGTAACAGTCTGTAACGTTCATGAATACTGATTATTTATATTGCAATTCTATGTATTTCTCTTCCTCTATTTCCATTTCTCTTGCATCACTTTGTTTATCTGATTCTCTACTCAACAGCACCCATTATATCCAAAGAAAATGCTTTTTGAAGCGTATGTATACTCAAGGCAATGACGCAAATACATTACAAGTAACATGAACGTTAGAAACAAATCACATACGTACTACGTCTTTGCCTGAACGTACAAAACACACGTATTTACATACCCAAAGGTTGGCAACAGCACTGTCTGAAGATTACTTCAACGTTATCATCTGGAGGAGACACTAATTGGACAGGTTAATAACTCAGTAGGTAGAGAGCAGCTTAGTAAGAAGTGTGCTGCTGGTGGCCTGGGGAGGGATACATATCTAACTCACTCACTCTACTTACTTACTTCCTTATGGAGCTGAGCCCGTCTTGAGAAGACGCCAATTCTGCAGCTACTCAAGAATTTCCCAGCATTTTATGGAACCCGAAGGTTCATTACCGTGTTCACAAGAGCCCTCCACTGGTCCCTATCCTGAGCCAGATCTATCCAATCCATACCATCCCATCCTATCTCTCTAAGATCCATTCTAATGTTATCCACCCACCTACGCCTTGGTCTTCCCTGTGGTCTCTTTCCTTCTGGCTTTCCTACCAATATCTTATATGCATTCCTCGTCTCCCCCATTCGTGCTACATGACCTACTCACCTCAGCCTCCTTCACTTGATCATTCTAATTATACTTGGAGAAGAGTACAAGTTATGAAGCTCCTCATTATGCAGTTATCTCCAACCTCCTGCCACTTCATCTCTCTTCGGTCCAAATATTCTCCTCAATACCCTGTTCTCAAACACACCCCATGTCAAACATTAAGAATGCAATAAAATCAAGCTCATACTTCTGTACTTCACATTTTTACTAATAGTTCTTGGCTCGTATACAGTTTCCACCTCTACTTCCAGTACAATTTTGGTTCAAGATGACAAGCATCCACATGACAAAATTGAACCTGGACAGCACAACTGTTGCTCCTCTTGGCAAGAACTCAAGAATTCTCTCCAATCTCTTCCCATCCCCCTTCTGCCCCCTCTCCTTCTTTCTCACTCTTGTCTAAATTCCAAGCAAATCCACGTCCACATTCCACTCTCTAACCCTTGTCCAACAGGAAGTATATTTACCAGTCAGCTCATCATATTTATATTCTAAACTTTGTCCTCAGACATTCCAACAGAAAATTGTCAAAAACAAACTTCATGAAAAAATTCCTAACCTCAAAAACCTGAACAGTTCTGGAAAAACAGCTACATTCATGCTACGATACTAAACTTGACAATATCCAACAAGTGGTCCTGTTACCCAAAGAAAATTCTTTCACGAAACAGGGACACTGTAATATTGACTGACGCATATCATCCACAGCTGCCATCTTCTGAATCAGTTCATAACTACTTGTTAACATACATGCTAAACACACATAAATACAGATGGGCATGTATCGTTAGGCTTTTTTATATATGGATGCTTAGTAAATAAGAGTGCAATTGTAAATTCCAATAAAGTAATCTACTTTCAAAATGAATTTTTGCTATTTTGCAGACATACACAGATGCATGTTTATTGCTGCAATGTTAACTGCAATACAGACACAGTCAGAAATTATTTTCCTTGCCAATATTCACCATACTAAAATACTGAAATATTCATCAAATTGCAAATGTTTAGCTGGCTCCCTTGCACCACGGCATGGCGCGTCCTCAGGTTGCAGACAGAGGAAACGCCCTCCAGGTAGGGAAGGAAGCTGCAAATATATTGAATAAGCAGCCGAGGACAGCCGAAAAGGGGTGGCCCTCCAGCTTGCGGGTTGGGCGTGGGTCTAACAACTCCTCACGGTAAAAAATAAAATTGTTAC